GACACATTCACAAAGTTCGGAAGCCTTCCTCCAGAACTCCGTATTGAAATATGGCGTCTCTGCCTGCCACACCGAATCATCGAAATGCATGACATTCGAAGCCGGAGAACAGCTTCGGCATGCTGGCCACCAAGAGCGGTCCGAACCCCGCCATTGATATCTAGGGTCTGTAGGGAATCCCGCACCATAGCGTTACAGAACGGGAGCCTTCAGCCGATGATGGGATCAGGGGCTCCCGTGTGGTATGACCGCAAAACCGACATAATCAACATCGGAAGGGTGTATAGTTTTGAGAGCAACTTAGTCGCCGAAGAATCTGTAGAAAAAGTCGACTCGTTGCGCTCCGGATTCAAAGACTTCATCTGTCGCCCCGTCACTCGGATTAGCGTAGCGAAGGACGCAATCTTTTATTGTCCTGATAGCGCCTTCGCGCGATGGGTCGTTCGGCGCATGGCGGAGCGACTTGTCTCCTGTTCCATTGTTGTAGCAGATATGTCAATACATTTACCACGGGAGGCAGCCGCGGCCTCTGAGCTGTTCGGGCTGTTTGCAGAGTCAACGACGGTCCATGTTGACATGCAGGACACCAAATGGTTTGAAGCACTCTTTGCTCTCAAAAAGATGTTTAAACAGCCGAAGGGGCGGGGAACACCAGTAACGGATTCATTAGTACAGGGGCGTACATATCAATACATGAGGCGTCGCCATGGCGTCCCTGAATTCCTCCACTGTGTGAAAGCAATCTGGCTCAAAGAGAATGGTGCACTTCCGGCCGATGTCGAATCCTGGAAACTCTTTCCCACACTTGAAAAGTATGAAGGAATTCGACAGGTGCTGGCCCTACTTCCAGAATTCGAATTCGCTATTGCGGTTCATCTTTGCACCAACCCTCACCACAACTCCACTACAAAGAAACCGAGCGATTGAAACGCACGAAGGCGGGTATGAAGCGGGATAGTAACGATCTAGCAAGCAGAGACAGAATGAATCGAAGTGATTCATGCACAGTCGATGACCAGCGTGAGGTCGAATCGTGATACGGTTCTTCGGCTGATCAGCCATGTACGCGCACTCATTGAGTGATCAGATTCGTGCCAGCGAACCCCCAACTGTTCGTCACAATTTCAGCATCAGAATCTGCTTAAGTGTGTTGCGGATGGTCATGTACATGTATTGGCAGATTCGCTCTCCGGAGATCCACCATATGTGGCTATTAATTCTTTGAGAGCTGGATTTCTAGTGCGGCATTTCTCCTGGAAAGCCTCATGCTTGATTTCGAACTGGCCTGGGAGCTGATTTTCGCATGGTCGCCTACTGTGTCGCTGTGCCTACCTCGCCTACCAAGCTATGTGGTGATCCAATAGCCGCCGATCGTTCTGTCACGGCAACCTCTTGGTTTCCAGGTACGACACCACCCCAGAAACCGCACGACCTTATCAATCCAAATAACACGTCCGCTCATCACCCGTAGTGGGTTTAACGGTATGATTGAAGGCATACTTCATTACTAGAATGTATCTTTGAAGTATCCTGTTCGAATACCAGTTCGAAGAAAAAGGCCAAGTCCTTTTTTTCTTTCTTGGTCGCGTTCCAGAGTACAGTCGCGTCTCAATGGTTCGCGTCTTCGGAATTTCCAAGATTCGCCGAGCCGACAGCCACGACGCTGAGAATTGAGCGGAAGGTAGTGTTTTACAACCTCCAAGGTCGAATCATATACGAGGGAGTCTAACTACTTGTTATAACATGAAGTACGTAAGTGATATCATTAGTCCATATGCCAGTATCAAGCCACCGGTCGATTACCTCCAACTCTATTGGTCTTTTACCCTTTCTCTGCCGCTTCGACTTCTTCATTCTAGCTCCGGTCGTTCATTGTTCGCATCGAGCTCTACTTTCTTCTGATTTATAGGGGCGACTCCAACATTGTATTGGGAAGGTGTTGTTGTTGTCGTCGTATGGAAGTCAGGCGATCCCGCAATGCTGTAGGTATAGGCCGGTGTAGGTGCCATATACTGTTGGCTCTGACTTGGATAATATCCACCTTCAAACTGTCCGCCGTCTTGCTGTGCTGCCTTCCGGTTTCGGGATCGTCTATACATGATGAACAGCACTATTCCAACAACAATAATTCCCAATCCAGCGCCGACGCCAATACCCGCCGATGCTGCAGCAGATAATCCGTTGTTGTCGGAGGAAGCGGAAGTCGACGTCGGTGTCTGCGTTTGTGATGTACTCGTAGTGGATGTGCTCGCAGTGGAGATGGCCGAGCTTGACGTCGGCGAAGTTAATGGAAGTGAGGTATAGGCGAATCCATCTCCTGGCAATGAATATATCGTGGCAAGCTCTGTAGCAGCAGCTATGACATATGTTTCGGTCGTGGGGTTTGAACAGTCAATGCTGTTATCGTCGTTGACTTTGCAACAAGCCCAACTATTACCGCCTATGGGGACAATGTCTGGCCTGTTGTGATCCGCTGTAAACACGAAAGTGTTAGTTGAGTCGCAAACACAGTCAATATTCAATATGTTGGGAAACAAAACGAACCGCATCGTTGTACACAATTTCCTCCTTTCCAGTCTTCATCCGTACAGCCTGCAGCGTAGTAGCCACTGCCGCCGTCGAGATCATGAAAGTAGTGGCATATCCCATTCTCCAGGCAGACATCACCGTTGGCACAGCAGGGTACTACCGGCACAGAAGCGTTCACTGGACCACACGGGCTGGTTATGTCGAGATCAAGGCCCTTATTGACTGAGCACGACATCGTAGCTATATCTTAGTCATTAAAGAGCGAGGGCGAAGAAGGGACACTTCGCCAAAAAGCGTAGTTGCTGATCTGCTCATGTCTCTCTTATGACATGACACAGCCGCCGTCGCTACTTAAAGCCTAAGAATATCTTTTACTGCATGTGGACCCAGTATGCTGATCGAAATGCTTGCCTCTGTGCCTGTTGGCATCCTTGCATGCAACTGTGAGACAATGATAGATCCCATGGGGGTATTTTGCGGCGCTGGCACTAGTTCGAAAGTTCCCGATAAAGCACCATCACGCGCCATTAACTTGCTTGGCTGAATGCCTCCGTTTCCTAAGCCCTAAGAGCCTGCTGAAGGATTTGAGAGCGGCTGTTCGAAACACTAATAGACTCTTGACCAACGAACACCACTAATTCATATCCCCATGCGATCCACAGGTCTCCTACTGTAAGGAACCTTGGTTCGACCAGCCACCACGATGAGCTATGGATGGGTGCCGACATACACCAGTGTCAACCCACTATTAACGCTTGCTTCGGTCGCAAATAGAGAACCAAGTTATTCATCAAATCCCGAGCTAGGATTATTGTGAGTCCCGGGTGTTCGCTGCAACGGTGCAACCCTCAGACCATCCACGTGTGAACGTCTGGTTCCACCTTAATATGTATGAAGCAACATTGCATTGAGCAACGCCATTCTGTGGTGGACTTGCCAGCACACTTTGTCCAAGCGAAACGGAATAGCGAGTAACTTTCCAAGCAATGAAACCCAGGGGTGATGTTGTCAATAAGGTGAACAACTGGAAATTGTATGAGAAAGTAACGGTGCCAAGGCTACAGAGGTTGCTTGGCTCCTAGGTAGCCCGGCACCTCTAACCCACGAGCTAACCTATTCTATATAAGATTGGCAAGCCGAATCCGCAAAGAGCGAGATGGATTCAACACACTCCAACGGCTTGATAAAAAAATCTTTATCCAGTTGGTATGAAGGCGCGAAAAGGGCTTGATTGTGATATTGTATATGAGCTAGATAAAGAAAGGTCTGTCTAGATAAGTGCGAAGAACTCTGGAATCCACTCAAGAGACAACCATTACTCAAATTGTATAGGGAAACGAAATCGGCAGACTGAAGTTTCATGATAATCAGGCATGCGGAATGAAGCCCGAGGCTTCAAGGGTTGTGTACAACTTGCATGGCACCGTGAGCGTACATATGGACATCCGACAGGTTTCGTATTGATGCCGACCGTTTCTGAACAACGATCCACGACAGGAGGTCTGTGATACAATGATAAACTCGACTTGGTGTACGCAATATCTGGCCGCCAGAAGTATACAATCCGTCGAAATGGAGTTAACTGAATATGGAGAAATATACATTCGTCGCGGATAGTGTTATTCTTATCTGGAGAGTCGGGCAGTATCGAATTTGCCAATGCTAATCAAAAGCTGTGCTTCAGACGTTTCCAGGCTCATCTCCAACCTTCAATTTTTGTAAGACACCATATCAAAACAAACCGAGCATTCTAATACAAAAGACACAGACTCACTCGATTCTTACCAATGGCTGTAATGTAAAACACAGCTCCTCAAGCCTTGCACCGCTGATTGTCTCGAAAGTGCCTACCTATTTTGTCTGAATGGAACTTTTGCAATTACGTAGGTCCTAGTAACAAGTTGCATCGCGGATGATTCCGAACCAACATTAACATAACCACGCCTTACTCGCGCATGTCAATTGCCTCGACTGTCTAGCAACAGCGTGTCAGCCTCGACATGGATCCGCTTTCCGTGAGATAATAGTACCTGTCGCCCGACGTATCACACTTCCATGTCTCTATATGCCGACATTGACGATGCAACAGCACCCCTGCGCCAACTGCAAGGCGCTGATCGATTATGATTGGACAAGGCGTAAATACTCAGATGACATAACCTCGAGCATTTGATGCATACATACACTCGAAAAGTCCAGAAGTGCATAGCTGCTCACATACAAATATAGATGTGTACCTTACATGAAATGACATCAGCAACATTGAATGCTCCCTAAAGATTACTCAATATAGCATCGAAATCAGTGGTACTCGAAGTCCCACCGCCGCAGAAATTCACACCTTGCCTCCCATTACATAACCAGGATTGCACCCACCGCCCCTAACACCATACGTCTTCCGTGGATGATCCGTCAATACTCAGCCCTTCATAAGAAGAACCACTACATCTCGCCCTCAACAAAACAGAGAAGGTCGGTTAGCTCAGTTGGTAGAGCATCGCAATTACATTCAAAGTCACTGCGAAGGTCATAGGTTCAAGCCCTATACTGACCATCAGATCATCTTTTTGCTCCCGTTGTCGTCATCTTTTCGACGCAAGTATTGACTTCGTAGACATGCCATTGCATACCTGGCTTCGCAGAATTTATATGTCAATTCCAATAGCATCTGCTACTTAGGACCTGTTTCATACCAGCATCATATCAGCGAACACGGAAGACATAAATGTGACGTGCAATAGGTTCAACTTGGCTTTCAGAGTTGATCCGAAGAGGCGATGAACAACTGAAGGGACTTGCCAGGCTCTGTTTTCATCAATCATGGACTGCGATTTGCCTCATGTTATGGGATGCTGTTGAATTCATCAATCTATCGTGTTGGTATCTATGTCTTAGGGGATTGTGCAGCTACTTATGCTATCTTGAATTCATGCAAATCATCGCGATCGTCAGCGTGCAACTTATATCGCCATGCGTGTACAAACTAGAGTCCAGAGGTCCTACTTTTGTGGTCCTGTACCTGGTTTATGTAAGCCGTGAAAGCCATGGCCAATAGCCCATTCACAATTGGCTCGACCCAGCTCTTTCATAGTCTTTGCATCTAGGCAAAGCAAGTAGCTAGTCTTCTTGTAGCCATCGAGAACTACGCTAAGAAGGACCCCGTCATCTTCGTCTTCATAGTGTGGATGTGTTTCTGTGTCTTCGTCCCGACCACTACGGTGGAGGTGTGCCGGTCGTGGTACGAAGATTGGCTCGCCGGGCGTGTGACCTTTGGGTGAATTCCAAAAAATTGTTCGCCGCGCGTCTAGATCCATTTTGACAATCCCGTCATGCAATGCGCTGTATCCGCGGGTCGGCAAGCTGTACGCATAACGGTACTTGCGCGTGCTATAAGCCGGGTTGATAGTCGGCAGCTCACCTGCATTGGGTGCTTGAAGGAGGGTATCTCTCTCAAACTTGATATTCTTTGCCGTGCCTGTCTGGTTCTGGGGAACTTGAAATGTATATCTTGTAAGTCGAGAAAGACATTCGCGAACGCGTTCCTCATCCTTCCAGTACGATTCGTCTCCGTCCTTGTTTTGCAAGAGAGTTTCTATCTCGAACGATCGTATCTTGCTCAACGTAGGGTATTCTATGACATCGCAGGACACCTTGATATCTCCAGTATGTGGGTCGCGCTCTTCAAATGCATTGATCGTATGAAAGAAGAACCCTGCTGGACTACTGAAGGTCGCTACTACGCCGCGTCCATGCCGACGGTCCACGACGAACCATTTCCACAGTTTAGACGTACTGAAGGGCTCAAGCGCGTCAACGATGTTTCCCTTCCAAGGAACCGCGAGGCCCTTGCATGCTAGGTGTGTTGAAGGGACGACCAGAATGACGAAAGATTGCGACATGAAGAACGAGTGGATGTAAGCAGGGGCAACATCGCTTTGGGCGATGGTGGCGATGATCTCCGTTTTCCCAGTCGATTCGCTGGTTTTGAAGACACGGTACGTTGCGTACATGCCTGGGTCGAGGTTGTAATTGAAAAAGTCTCCTGTCTCCGGATCTCGGTGAGCGTGGGCGGAACTCAGAGGACCTTTCAGGTCAGGATGAAGTACGTCTTGTTTTGCTCTGCCGACCGGCTCGAGGGTATCTCCATCGAATTGGCGGATGATGGAGTTATCTGTAGTTATGGCCATTGGAGGTCTATGTCCCGAGTAGTTTGGAGGAGGTGGAAGTCCTGGCATGTCTTCAAAGACCGCAACTGCAATGTTGTCGGATGACGGGGTGGGGTTGGGATTCTCGTAATTCCATACGGACATGACCTTCGCAAAGAGTCCAACGCAAGGATCTTGACGCTGACCGAAGCTCAAACCCGGGACTTTGCCTGTCTTCCGAATAGCCTCTACATAGTCGTGAGACTGATACCGGGACGAATACACCACGCGTGTGGGTGTTTTGGGGTTGCCAGTGGCGATGATAGTAAACTTGTGGGTATGGGCAAAGCCGTCGAACCAATGCGTCGTTTTGAAAAGGCCTTTGGGTGTATTTTCAACATCGTATTGCCCCGGGCCTGTCCGATAAAGTGAACCTGTGGCCCAATAAGGTATTGATCCTGTTACTTTCAGGTCTACCGGTCCTCGCACTTCTGTCAATCCCTCGAACTAGCAGCTTGATCGTCAGCTTCTACTCACGAACAGTATTTTGTGGTTTCGCACTCACTCCTGCTTCATTTGGCCAGTCTTGCCATTGCGTTGCGAGTGTCGTCTTCACGACACGATTGAACTCCTCCTCGGCACGGCCTGTCACTGAAGCCATGGCTGTTATCAGAATCAAGCCAGCCTGAGAAAGATATTATGATATGGCTATCTAGGAGACACGCCGTCGAAGATGGGCCAATAGATTGTCGTAGGGCACGAAGCGTTTTCGTGAGGTGGTGTGTGAGGAGGTGGGTGTGGATTTTAGGTGGGAGAGGAAAACAGTGTTGGGTGCTTTCTTCCTAAGGTACCTAGGTGATATCAGATAACCTGGAAGGTACCGGAGCCTCGGGGGCTCTGACTTGGAGGTGCCTTCCCTGCTTTCAAGGTTGCGTCCTGACGATAGAAGTCGCGGCAGGAACGAGGGAGGTTGTGTATCGCAACTTTCCCTGCGTGCCCGTTCAAGATTGGCAGGATGAGCGGGAGCTATAATTACCTATGCTGACTGTCATGCGCACAATGTTGCCATCTCAATGGACTATTTGTGACGTGGAGTGATACAAGTTGATAATGCCGTGTAGCAAGCACATATCACTGGACGGTGACAAGTGTTCTTGCCAACGGGATTGGATGCGGGCCGGATTGCTGGTTCATCGCTCACAAGTCGCATTCACCGTATTCTACTATCTCCTGTGAGTAACAGACGCGCTTGAATTCGACTTCTGATTCAATAAGGATCCAGTCCAACCCGACCATGAATGTATCCGCGATTGACTACATTAACAGCAACGCTTGAAAAAATCTGGGATCATGATTCATGAAGCTGTGGCTTTAATGGGCCATAACGTTGTATCCCGATTAGGTGAAAAGGCTGCTATAACGGCTTGCTGATTGGTTATCAACTCGCTAAACCGCCGCGCTATAAAGCTTCTAGAGTTCCATTGATGCCGCATGCCCATCGAGGAGAACCCGACATGGAAGATATAGGCGAGAGCCAGTGTCCCGACATTGCGCTGAGTAGCGGTATACTCAACTTGCACTCTGTGTGAAGTTTTGACACTGTTTGGGAAGCTGCTGCTGCTGCAATGCCGTAGGCGGCAGCAGGGCCGACTTTGATTGACTGTAGAACATCGCCGCCAGGACGAGGAATTCAGCGCGTGGTAGGAAGCTAGCGACCAGTTTCAGTCTGGAGGCACACACTCAATGAGGGAGTACTTCAATGGTGGCCCTGACTGCACACCGCATGTTCAGAGGACATGAAGACGAGTTGAATCGAAGTCTGAGAGAAACCAAGCTTTAGAACCTGACCGAAAAGTTGCAGGATGGCAGCTCCCTTAAGAACAGTTGAGAGGGGAGAAGCTGTAGTTACTTTTTCTAAGACAGACGGAAACTTTCCGCTCGCCGGAGACGGCTGCAGGAGCCCGGCTTGACACATGCGCTCTCATGTCATACAACCATTTCTAAAATAAACCCTCCTAGAACCTTCGCTCGCCTTCGTATATCAAAGTTCTGCTACGGCCGAGCAGACTGACCTAGGTGCGGATATCTGCAGACGTCATGATATGGGGTTCATTCGTCACATGGTTCGAACGGCCTAGAGAGAGACCGGCGGGATCTTCGGTAGATCTTCGCGCGGAGTGGGCAATATCGCGACGAGCGTTGCAATTCTCCCCAAATTTTTCCTAAATGCCGACATGAAGCCCCAATTCCACCAATGGGGCCTGACAACAATAACGACACCGCCAACGATGCATATCACAATGCATATCCACAACCAGCAGAAGAAGGGAAGACGTAAATACGGTGTGCCTCATATTGGCCGCTCCATTGCAGGTTATGCTCTTAAGTAATCAGCCGTTGCTACCTTGATGGCAGAGTCAATAAGTGATATTGAAATTTACACACACCTTATCCGACATTGCTTTGATGTGACGGCAACGAATGAGGATCATGGGTTTGAGACACTTGTCATACTATATCCCGCTATGGGCGACTACCGTTTCCACGGCGTATATCACAAAACCCTATTTCAACTGGGATAACACGAAATATCTGTAAGCTGATGGACAAACTATGTAAAAAAACCAAACCTTAGGGCCTACGGGATTGACTATGAGAACAGACTCGCCTTTGGCGACTCATACACTTATGTACAAGGCACTGCTGGGACTACAAACTTTTCGTTCATCGGCAATTACCTACCCGATGAATTCAGCTTCACGCCCGAGACTCTCTTGCACGACAAGATCGTTCAGAACTTCACAGGCACCGCCGAGGGTGGTCCGAATTGGGTCGAATTTCTCACAGGATGCGGTCTAGAGCCTGGGGAGACGTCACCGCGAGACTGTGATATACAACTGTGGGACTTCGCCTTTGGAGGTGCTGATGTTTCGCTGGAGTTTCTGGCACAGCATCACAATACGACGATACCACTTGTGAATCAAACAGAACAGTATCTCACATGGGGTGAGCCGGTGATTGGGAAGAAGATGGACAAGACAAAGGCGCTTGTTGCGATCTGGATCGGTATCAACGACATCAACGACTCGTCGAAGTTTCTCAACGTTACGTTTCCAGACTTCTATGATGAGCTCATATCAACCGTATTCGAGGAGAGTGTAACTCCTTTGTTTAATGCCGGATACAAGAGTTTCTTGTTCATGAACTTACCACCACTCGATCGAACAGAAGCCAATGCCGCATCGTTGATACCACTTCCGAGTAAGCAGATGATCGATTGGTGGGATGAAAGTCTTGCGCACCATAGCCGGGCGTTCGCAGCGCAGCACCCGAGTGTGAAGACAATGGTTTACGACGTAAACACATTCCTCAACTACGTGATGGACAATCCCGAGGAATACAACATCGC